TAGCGACCCCTTGGGTTTCCAAGGCGGTATCACTACAGAAGTAGATTGCCCAATCTTCCTTCCAAGGAGTGACTGGTGGGTTTGAACTGCCAGGCTTCTGGTTAGCAGTCAACTGCCTTAGGCACTACGCTACCAGAGCTCCTACTTGGCAAAGTAGAGGGTCGGTAAAAAAGGGGAAGACCCTTAACAAGATGGATTGACACAGTGGCAACAACAATGGGCTCAAGCATGGCGATGATTGTGAGGGTGGCGCAGGACCAGGCAGTGTTTTGTTCTGTTGTTCATAGAGTTGCTACGAGTCAGAAGAAACTCAACAGCACCTAACAACAACAAAGTTACATCAAGAAATGGTGGAGCTCTTGTTTAACCCAAAATGATTGCATAGAAAGCCAAACAAATATGATTATTTTGATCAGTCCAGACCTCAACTACCATCAATTTAAAAACTTCTTGGTTCCTGGACTACAGACATAATGTTTTATATAGAGAGAACTGACAGCTTCTACTCCCAGGATATTTTTCTTCCTGAAGAACATATTAGAGCAGATGCAGAAATTTATTGAAATATAATTGCTTTGAGATATAAGGAGTCAGGAACTGAGAGAATGTATTATACAAACCCAGGGAAAAGGAGAAATTTGTATATGAAGACCAAATTCTTTTATCCAAAGGCAACTCGTAGGAAAAGTTTATAGCGATGAGACTATAAACACTGGCTTTGTCTGAAAACCGTACTTCTCATTAAATGCTATTAGCTCATTTATGGAATTTTAGGAAACTTATTTAAAGTCTTAAATTCTTCCAATCATCTACCAGACTTTGAAGTTTGTTGAGGTCATCACTTGGACTGTGTGTACTGTCCTTTTAGGAACTATACCATACTAGTTGTCTTTGAGTTGCTTTGGACTCACAGTCGCCCTATGTGTGTTCAATAGGTTTTTTTTAATAGCTGATTTTTCAGAAGTAGATTGTCAAGTTTTCTTCCAAGGCACCTCTGGGTGAACTCAAATTTCCAGCCTTTTGGTTAGTAGTCAAAGTGTCAACGCTTCATACTACTCAGGGACTCCTGTCAGGAAGTAGACACTGGTAATGCTATACTCTTCTTTCATCTCTCTTCTAAAGAAATTGACAGCCCAGCAAACCTGGTGACAGATCGGGTGACTGAGAACACGGCCACTGTCTCCTGGGACCCAGTGCAGGCTGTCATTGACAGGTACATGGTGCGCTACACTTCTGCCGACGGAGACACCAAGGATGTTCCTGTGGGGAAGGATCAGAGCAGCACAAAACTGACAGACTTGAGGCCAGGAGTGGAGTATACGGTGCATGTGTGGGCTCAGAAGGGGAGCCAGGAGAGCAAGAAAGTGGATACCAAGGCCCCAACAGGTAACAAGAGAGGAGAATGGGTTGTTGTTGTTGTTGTTTGCCGTCGAGTCAGCCCTGACTCATAGGGACCCCTCCTTGGGTTTCCAAGGCAGTATCACTATGGAAGTAGGATTGCCCAACCTTCCTTCCGAGGAGTGGCTGGTGGGTTTGAACCGCCAGCCTTCTGGTGAGCAGTCAAGTGCCTTAGGCACTATGCTACTACAGCTCCTGGGAGGAGAATGGGTAACTATCCTAGTTACTGACGGAAGGTAAACTGGAATTGAATTTTGAACCTGTGGGTTTGGATATGCATGGTACCACAGGATGTGGCTTGAGCTAAGGAACTTTGCACTTAGAAGTCTTAACAATCAAAGAAAGACAGTGAGCTGTAGAGGAGATCACAGAGAACTGCTCTTCTCTGACAGCGAGGAGCTGTTCATGAAGCTCTCAGTCCACCAGAAGAGAGAAGTAACATGTGGTAGCCATGTTCTTATCAGACTCATCAAAGACATTTAGAGGATCTGGTCATTCCATTGTTTTGATATTTTTTTAAAATGGACTTTATTTTTCAAGGAGTTTTAGGTTTACAGAAAAATTGTGCAGAAAGCACAGAGAGTTCCCATAAGCCCTCCCACTCCCTCTACACCTAGTTTCTCCTATTATTAACATCTTGTATTGATGAGGTACATTTGTTACAATTGATGAGCCAATATTGATGCATTATTTTTAACCAAAGTCCATAGTTTACATTAGGGCTTCTTTGTGTTGTACAGTTTGGGTTTTAACAAATGCTTAATGTCTTGTGCCCACCATTGCAGTATCACACAGAATATTTTTACTGCCCTTAAAATGTTCTTTACTTTACCTACTCATCCCTCTTCTACTCCCTCTGAGCCCCTGGCAACCACTGATCTTCCCACTGTCTCTATAGTTTTGCCTTTTCCAAAATGTCATAGTTGGAATCATGCAGTACATAATTCTTTCAGAGTGACTTCTTTCATTTAGCAGTGTGTATTTAAGGCTTCTCCATGTCTGTTTGTGGCTCAATGACTCATTTTGTTTTATTGCCAAATAATATGTACCACAGTTTGTTTATCCACTTACCTGTTGAAGAACATCTTGGTTGCTTCTAATTTTTGTTGATCAAAACTGCTATAACTTCAACATGCAGCTTTGATGATATTGTATAATGCTTATCAGTGAAGAAGTAGCCATTGATAAAATGATACATAAATTAGGTACTGAACATCATGGCAGATGTTGTTTAAGTGGTGATTTTGACATGCCATAATGTGGCTCAGTAGATACTATTGTTCCCACGCTTTAGGGATCTGTAAGCCAAGAAAGTATCTCAAGTTTATAGTGATTAGTCTTTTGAAACTGAGAACCAAGGATTACTTTTTCCCTCAACTCCTACCTGACACCCAGGATGAGAACACCGAGGGTGTTTGGGACCATAAAGATCATGATCATAGAATGTGAGTATATCTTCCATGACTACAAAATTTAGGCTTTCTCAAACATTTTCTTAAAGAAATTGACAGCCCCAAAAATCTGGTGATGGACCAAGTGACAGAGAACACGGCTACTGTCTCCTGGGACCCCGTGCAAGCTGCCATTGACAGGTACATGGTGCGCTATACCTCTGCCGATGGAGAGACCAAGGAGGTCCCTGTGGGAAAGGATCAGAGGAGCACGGAGCTGACGGGCCTGATGCCAGGTGTGGAGTACAAAGTATACGTGTGGGCCCAGAAGGGGAGTCGGGAGAGCAAGAAAGCCGACACTAAGGCCCCAACAGGTACTGGAGCACACACTACCATGTGTCATTGCTAGCTTTGTCTAGGTTGCTTTTCCTTCTTTGACTGTGTAAGAATGGGAGATTTTATGGAAGAGCAGATTAGTGTCCCTCCATAATAAATTATGCACTCTTCAATTTCTTTTAATGGCCTCTCTTTAAATGAGTATCTCCTATTGTGGTCTCCAAGCTTTGTTCTTTAAAGATTGACGATTATTGCTCATAGTCCCCTGCTCTTTATCTGCTTGCGTCTTCTTTGAAATCACACATGAAATGCTCCACCTTAATAAGAGATACATGTGAAGAGTGCTGAAGGAGGCAGGCTGGTGAGTTGTGATTCTAAAACTTGATGTTCTTCCTTCTTGCCTGTTTAAACCCTTTCTGTGGAGCCAGTTTTGATTTCTGCCCTTTGGATGAAAATTTTAGGCAGATACCATAACATTTTATTAGCTAAAAATGAGCATGTATCGAGTCATTTTTATTCATATAAATGTGTTATGTTAGTAATTAAAATGTCCATTTCTGTGTATATTGTTTCTGTGTACATATTTCACTTAAAATGAAAGCTTCTCCTCTTCATCAGCTTGGGTCACTGTCAACAGTGGGAAGGGGGACATGATTGGTTTCTCTTGTGTTTCCATCCTGCACTTCAAACCCTGTTCTCCTTACTTGGTAATTGCAGTTTCTGATGGATTTATGCTTGGTGAAGCTGGGAGGGAGAAGAGGTGAGGGATCAGGAAGGAAAAAACAAAGGGATCATGGAAAACCTTTTACTTGACTATAAGTCATGGCTAACTTGAGCCTCTCATGGGACCTGGTATGTGTTTAAACTAACTCTCATAGAGCTCTTCTGTGAGTTCTTCTGAGACACCTCTCTTGGGGATCTCACTGTAGTGATCCTGTGGGCACATGTATCTTTCCTCCTAGTCTCTTGTTCCCCAGCTTTTTTTCCCACTTTACCGCCGTAGGTGATCCTTTTGGATAGCTTCTAAAACAACCCTAGGTCACTCTTCTTTGCTTGGCGCACATCTGGTCCATGGGAAAGCTCATGGATCCTTTGCTCACTCAACTAGATGCACAGGTCTTTTGCAATGCTGCAGCCTCTTTTTGCTTTGTATCAGAACAATCACCTATATTCTCACTTCTTAGGATCTTTACGCATGTGTCCAATACCAGCCCGCTATGTTGCTCAAGGGAGCTCTGGTAGCATAGTGGCTAAGACACTTGCCTGCTAACCAGGCGGCTGGCGGTTCAAACCCACCAGCCACTCCTCAGAAAGAAGGCAATCCTACTTCCATAGTGATACTGCCTCGGAAACCCAAGGAGGGGTCGCCATGAGTCGGGTTTGACTCGACAGCACATAACAACAACAACAATGTTGCTCAAAGGATCTCTGGTGGCATAGTGCCTAAGGCATTTGACTGCTAACCAGAAGGCTGGCGGTTCAAACCCACCAGCCATTCCTTGGAAGGAAGATGGGGCAATCTACTTCCGTAGTGATACTGCCTCGGAAACCCAAGGAGGGGTCGCTATGAGTCAGGACGGACTCAACGGCACATAACAACAATAACAACATGTTGCTTAAGCTTGAGGGCAGGGTTTCTCAACCTCAGTGCTGTTGACATTTTGAGTCAGATAATTCTTTGTAGTGAGGGATATATCGAGCATTTTAGGATGTTTAGCAGCATCTTGAGCCTTTACCTACTAGATGCCAGTAGCATCCTCCCAGTTGTGACAGCCAAAGTCTCCAGACATTGCCAATCACCCCAGTCAAGACTCACTGCTCTAGGGTATATACAGAATAACAAGCTCTTTAAGTGATCCCATTGAAACTACTTACTTGAGGCTTGAGGTCCACCCATGCGTAGCTCTCACCAAAGAAGTTAGCTCTGTCAGCCCCACCTCTTTGGACTCTCCAGCCTCTTTGATTAACTGGAGGTCATTGGTCAGCCAAGGGTCACAGAACTGTTGGTCCTGTCTTAGTTGTAGGTCCTCAGCTTGGAATATAGTCACAATTTTGGGGGGAGCGTAGCCTAAATCAAGTCAAGAATAGACCCATGTTAACACACCATCTCATGTATGTAATAGGATTTATGAGCAAATTACTTTGGGGAAATGGCTTTTGCAGTGAACTGTTTGGAGTAAAGGAATGTTATTTTGTTGGTGAATATATTTCTGAGTACCTCCTGTGTGCATGGTATGGAAGAGCATGTTGTTGTTGTTATGTGCTGTCGAGTAGGATCCGACTCATAACGACCCCTCCTTGGGTTTCCAAGGCAGTATCACTATGGAAGTAGATTGCCCCATCTTCCTTCCAAGGAGTGGCTGGTGGATGTGAACCGAGCACAATCTCTGGTATTTAAAAACAGTAATAATGATATCATTAGTAATACAGTCTGTGAGCAGTGGGCATCTACTCTGTGACAGGAACTAATCTAAGGGTTTTTACATGTTACTGTCTCATATAATACCCACAACACCTCTATAGGATATGTACTATTATTATCTCCCTCCTCTTTTTTTTTTTTTTTGGCTGTGGGGGAAATTGAGGTAGAGATGCTTATTTGCCCTTGATGCTACTTTGAAGCATGGAGTGAATATTCACTGTAAACACTATAATCCTTTACATTTTTCAAAGCCCCTTTTTATGTGACATTTTAATCTTGGTTTTCTGAGAAACCCAGAGGGATAAATACCATAACTATTAACAGCTCCACTTTACAGATGAAAAACTCAAACATAGAGAAGGGAAGTGACTTGTCCAAGGTCATAAAACAAGTTTAATTTATGAAATTAGATGCACATATTAGTGCTTAAAGGAAACTTGAATTCCAGTCAGCCTGAACTCCATATTTCACAGATGAGGAAACTGAGTTCCAGCCAGAGCAGCTGAGTTATTCAGGAGCACAGCAGGCTGAGAGCAGAGCTGGGATTAGATCATTGGTCTCCAGGCTCTAGCCCATAGTTCCTCATGCCCCTCTGCTCTGCCTTTTTGGTATTTAACTAGATAGAACCAGCTCTTCTGACTCTGAATCTAGTGTTCATTTTCCTCTTCTGTGCTGTCTCCAGCTATGGGTACAAGGTCTAGGTCCACGAAACAACTAAACACCAAGAGCATTTGAGATGGTAAAACCACAAGAATATGAAATGGCTTTTACCCCCAGTGAAATGGACACAAGATCTAACTCTTTGGTGCCTGCTAATAGTGTTCATTGATCAATATTTACCTTTCAGATATCGACAGCCCCAGAAACCTGGTGACGGATCGGGTGACAGAGAACACAGCCACCGTCTCCTGGGACCCAGTGCAAGCTGTCATTGATAGGTATGTGGTGCGCTACACCTCTGCCGATGGAGAAACCAAGGAGATCCCTGTGGGGAAGGATCAAAGCCGCACAGAACTGACGAGCCTGAGGCCGGGTGTGGAGTATACAGTGTATGTGTGGGCCCAGAAGGAGAGCCAGGAGAGCAAAAAAGCCAATACCAAGGCCCCAACAGGTAATGGAACATCATTCTTTGGTGATGTAACACCTGTCATAATAAGCCTATGGTTGGACAAGTTTTTGTTTTCCTTCTCTGACACTGGCAGAATTGATGATTTGTAGAGGAGAAGGATAGTAGACCTCTGATTTATTGCATACACCATCCCTCACTTCCCTTTAACATAGTCTCTCAAAATAAGGATCTCCTATTTGGCCCCATACTTGGCCTTGTAAAGATTAATGGTGATTGGTCACATCCACATACTCTTCCTGCAATTGTGTATTTCCTTTGTCATCAATCACTAAATGTTTCTTTTTGAAAGGGAGGAAATAAATAGGAGCCATATATGTTAGGATGTGTGAGTGAAGTGCTTAGAGAAATGGCTTTTTCTGTGAACTTTTTGGAACAAGGAAAGGTTATTGCCTTCTTAGTGGATAAACCCTCTCTTGAATACCTACTGTGTGTCCGGTATTGAAGAGTCTAAGTTTGTACTTATATATAATAACAATTTGTAATTTTGAAAACTTTTTCATATATCTTTCCTAATTTTTAATAATGGTTTTATTGATATAAATTTACCTACTATAAAATGTACAGTGCAGTGGTATTAGCATATTCACAGAGTTGTGTAACCATCATCGCTAATTTTAGGACATTTTCATCATTGCAGAAAGAAATCTCATACCTATTAGTGGTCATACCCCATTTCTTCCTTCCTAACCTGTCATCCCCTGGGCACTCACTGTTTTCTATCTTATAGATTTGGTGATTCTGAACATTTCATAAAGGAAATCATATAACATATGGCCCTTTGTGACTGGCTTCTTTCACTTAGCATTCTATTTTGAAGGTTGTAGTGTCTATCAGTACTTTTATTTCTTTTTATTGGCAAATAATATTTCATTGTATGGATATATACTATATTTTATTTATCCATTCATCAGTTGAAAGACATTTGGATTGTTTCCACTTTTTAGCTATCATAATAATGCTACTATGAATATCTGTGTATAAGTTTTTATGTGGACATATATTTTCATTTCTCTCACGTATACACTAAGAGTGGAATTGTGGAGTTTAATGGTAACTCTATGTTTAATGTTTTGAGGAACTGCCAAACTGTTTCCCAAAAGAATTGTACCACTTTACATTCCACCAACATTTTTTCCTTATTTACTTGATTCTCAGGGAATTTGTCTTGAGGTAGATAGAGTAGAAATCAATATCCCATTTTTTTAGATGAGGAATTTCAAATACAGAAAAATGATTGATTCCTATAGGGTCACAAAGTTAGCTAATATTTTATAGAATCAGATTCATGGGATATTCATGGAATATTATGGCATCAAAATCTATTTAAACTCCACATTTTACAGATAAGGAAACTGAGGCCCAGTCAGGGTCAGCTGAATTGTCCAGGGCTACAACTGGCTGACAGCAGAACTGGGACTAGATCCCTGGTCTCTTGGCTCCAGCCCACAGCTCCTCCTGTCCCTTTGTTCTACCTCTGTGCTCTGGGACTAGAACTGGCTGTTCTGACTCTGAATATAGTGTTCATTTGCCTCTCCTGTGCTGCCTCCTTGAGGATCTAAGAGGTCAGCTATGGAGATAAGTTTTATGTCCATGAAACAATGAATGCCAATAAGAGCATTTGACATTGGAAAGCCACAAGTTTAAGAATTGGTCTCATCTTCAGTGAAATGAAGACAAGATCTGACTCTTTGGTGACTGTTGATAGTGTTTATTGATCAACATTTTCATTTCAGACATTGACAGCCCCAAAAACCTGGTGATGGACCGGGTGACAGAGAACACAGCCACCATCTCCTGGGATCCAGTGCAGGCTGTCATTGATGGGTACATGGTGCGCTACACCTCTGCTGATGGAGAGACCAAGGATATCCCTGTGGGGAAGGATCAAAGCAGCACAAACATTTTGGGCTTGAGGCCAGGCATGGACTACACGGTGTACGTGTGGGCCCAGAAGGGGAGCCAGGAGAGCAAGAAAGCCAATACCAAGGCCCCAACAGGTAAGTGAGCATCGGTCTTTGGTGATGTAACACCTGTCATGCTAACCCTATGGTTGATGAAGTTTTTGTTTTCCTTCTCTGACACTGGCAGAATTGATGATTTATGGAAGAGCAGGATCATAATCTTCCATAAATGGCTGCACAAGCAGCCCTCACTTCCCTTCAGCTGGTTTTCATGTCTATTCATTCAGCAAGGGAATATGGAGCCCCTACTGTGTAAAAGTCCTTGGGTGATACAAATAATTAGCATGCTTAGCTGCTAATCAAAAGGTTGAAGGTTCATGTCTATTTGGGAGTCTCCAGAAGTGATTTTGCTGTGATTGGTTGGTCACGTCCATCTACTTCTTCTCTGATTCCCTGAATCCTTTGCTGTAGACAGTACAGAGGGCTGTCACTGAGTTCCTTAATGGGAACAGAAAATGAAAATCAAATATCATTAATGTTAAGACTTGTTGTTGTTGTTCTTATGTGCCGTTGAGTCGGACCTGACTCATAGCGAGACTAGCATGCTAAAAATTCAACTTTAACAAAGTGGACTTTACATCTACCATAGCAAGTAGATTTGTGTGGTTTGTTTCACTGCAAATGAGTCATATTATAATTTTGGTTTTGAGGATAAAGATAACTTCAGTATTATCTTCTTCCCTTATTGTTGTAAAAGATATAATAGATGACCATATTTTGTATAGTGATTTAGTCAACATTATAAGTGAAACTATGATAGGTTTAAGAATATTAAAACAGAGCTTTACTTTTTGCTGATTCATTTAACAAATAATTTACTGAGTAATTTACATATGCCCTCTGGTATACTAGGCACTGGGAACAAAAAAGAGGACAGGTTGCAGCCTTGCTCTTCTAGACATTTATATTGGATCTGGCTTTTAGAATCTCCTTGTATGAAATAATAGGCCTTCACTGAAATGAAGCTAGATGGAAAGTTGTTAGGTTCTTGTGAGTAGAGCCCAAGTTCTTTAGCACTGTGCTTTGTACACTACCTAGCACCATGTGTGGTCTGCATAGCATACCACTTGCCATTGAGTTGGTTCCAATTCATGGTGGCCTCACGTGCATTAGAGAACTGCTCTCTATAGGCTTTTCAATCGCTGGATTTTTGGAAGTATGGCCAGGACTTTCTTTTGAGGTAACTCTGGGTACACTTGAACCTCCAACTTTTTTTTTTTTTTTAATTGTGATTTGGGTGAAAGTTTACAGAGCAAATTCACTTTCTGTACAGCAGTTCACATACACTTTGTCTCATGACATTGACCACAATTTACCACAATGCAACAGCTCCCCTCCCACTTCCTCCCGATAGTTACCTCTTCCCTGTGTCCATCCCTCCATGCACTCCTGCCCCCTGAGTGTCTCCCTGTGCATAAACTGCCTTTCTTTCTCCCATGATTGTTCTATCCAAGGAGTGTATCTACTTCAGGTAAATGCTCAACTCATATGCCTGTCTTTCATTTGGCTGGAAGCCACAGGTGTGGTTCAGTTCCAGACTTAAAGTGGAGCTAGGGGTCATAGTCTCAGTGGTTCCACCAGGCTCTGTCAGACCAGCAAACCTGGTCTCCTTCCACCCCCCCTTTTTTTCTTTTCCATATGATTTTGAGTTTTGTTCCACATTGTTCTCCCTCTCTATCCGGGATCTTCTACATAGATCCCCCTCTGAATGGTTGACGGTGGTAGCCGGGCACCATCTGGTTCTTCTGATGTCTTAGTCGTATAAGCTGTGGATTGCATGGTGTCCCAGTCACTAAGACTAATTGTTTCCATGAACCTTTGGTTCTCTTCATTCTTCACTGCTCTGGATGAGGATAAACCCACCATTGCATCTAGATAGCTGCTTGCAAGCTTTTAAGATCCCAGTCGCTACTCGCCAAAGTAGGAGGTAGAACAATGTTTTGTGTAGTATCTTATGCCAATTGAGCTTGATGTCCCCTGCAACTATAGTCCCGAGCCCACAGATTCAGCTACTCAGTCCCGCTGGGTAGCTGGCTGTGACCAAGAAGTGACTACAATCTTGTCCTTTGTCAGCTCTATTACACACCTGGGAATTCTTACAGAACATATAAATACACTTGCAGAACCACTGTCTGCCAACCCTATACGTGGTCTTGGGTACACTCCCTGCTGCATAGACATAGCTAATAGTTCAGCCTGTCCACCATCTATCCACCTGTATACTCATGTTTGCCTTCACTGACAACGTAGTACTGTATGTGCAAATGGGTTCATCTATGTTGTCTGTACCTCCCATGTACCTCTCTATGTCTTCCTATTCCTCAGTGCCACCATGTTGATCACTCACATTTGGTACATTGCCCTTCTCTTCACCCGAATCAGTACTTATCTCTACCTGTCCAACAGTGATCCCTCCCCTC